GAGAATGGCTCAGCTATTAGGAGTAAGATGCCATGTTTACTCTTTATTGCTTCGACTCATTAAATTAAAGCCATATGTGTTTATAGTTCTCCTAGAATAATATATATCCCAATTTTCATAAGTATTTGATAGACTTTTTAATTAATCTCTTTCTTATTTGTATTGATACAAATTTAATGGAAGCCAAGGTAAGTCTGTATTGTTTTCCATTTGTGAAGAGTCAACCATGTCTCAGTGAGTGTCAATAGTCTAGTTAATTTAAATGTACTGACAACACATTTGCTTTTTGTATTTACCTTTTACAGATCCCTTAGATGTCATCCATGGACCACAGGCTGAAAGCTAGTAGTTTACACTGCAACCAGTTCTGCTACTGCAGGCTGCCTGTAACCAGTCTGTGGCAAGGCTGTGCTGCAGACTGTGATTACTGCAGTAAATTTGAATTGTCACCTTGCTGATTTTAACTCTAACAAGAAAAACACTAATAATACAAAGAGCATCTAGCCCGTGCTTGATACAATACAGGATTGTTTCCCGTGGCAGGGCTTTTCAACATACTGTGGCCTGCTAAACCAGTTCCTACATTGCCTGGTTTCCAGGAGTGATTGACTGGAGTCTAAAATTTCATCCATTTATATTATTACAGGAATATTAAAAAGTAAAACCACATAATCTTGCCAAATCATATTGATACACCCTTTCAGTTAATGTTGAAAAAAAGTACAATGGATTTTCCTAAATATGTGAAATAATACAGCTTTATCTCTTCTCTCTTTATAAAGAGAAGTGTTGTCAGTTTTTATCAGATGGTGAAGCGTGTAGATTGCATGTCTAACTTGAGTGAATTTCACTGCAATTTTTCTAAGCCAATATTTGCAATGTATTATCTTTTATATAATCTTACATTTGTTAGTTTTTTCTTAATTGTAGGTAAAGAGAGGATGTCAGTTCAATCACTGAAAACATCAAGAGATGCATCACCTTCAGGCTCCACAGCAGTACCCTCATCAAAGGTGAGTTTTCTTTTTGAGTACTTTTCACCATGGTTTCAAATTACTCATTGTTGTTGGATTTCTTCCTCATCTGGAAGGAGATACTGTAGGCAGCTGTTAAGGAAAGAAGCATCTTGGATTCCTCTGCAATCCAGCAGAGGATAAGTTTCCCTTATCTGGCAGGAAGGTGCTGATAATAGTGTGTTATCTAATGATGACACCAACAAACCTTTTTATTCTGTATTCACTGTCTCATTTTAGGAGAAAGGGAGTTTTGTATGTGTTGAAAATTGTTCACTTCCCAAAGTCCAGTGTGCTAGAAAATGACAAGGAGAAAAATGGGTAAACAGTTTCCAGGAGCAACAGATCAATTGGCAAGCCTATACTTGCACTGAACTCCATCCTTCAGTGATTCCTAAGATGTGACTGGATTGGGAAACAGTGTAGAAGTGTCTGACTGACTGACTGGGAAGATAGTGTGAATAGCAGTGTTGAGTTGGAAGCAGGGCTGCTTGAGGATGTGGCAAGAATTATAGCATTTGCTTGGGAAGGGAGCCACATTGCCAGATAGTTTGGTAAATGCTGTTTTATGTTCTAAATTATGCTGTTTAATTTCCCATAAAAAAAAATCTTGTGGGCTGAGCACCAACTTCATAATCTTGCTAATTAGTTAAACAGACCTGCTAATAAACGCTAACAATCGGCATTGAATATTGTTCTGGCTGTCTTGTGGCAGCAAAAACATTTTCACATCACAGATTGCTTGCCTCTGAATTATATTTTATTTTAAAATGAACAGTTCCACAGGAGTATTTTATCTAAATTGTTGAGAAATACTTTAATGAGAAATAAAGAAACAATGCATTATATTATTTTAAGTGAATAAAGCCCTATTAAAAAGTGGCATTTGCCTTAAGTAACATGGTGTACTAGCCTGGTTCTTGAGGTTTTTTAATAAAAGCAGTGGAATGCTTAAACAAAACAAAAAATTGAAAGAAAGAAAGGTACTTTTTGTTGTGAGAAGGTGAGACTGAAAGAAATAATTAGGTGGGGAAAAATCAGGCTTTGGTCGTGCTATGTCATTCTAAGTACTTATCCCTTATGCAGCTCTTTTAGAAGTGCTGTGCTGGGCATTAGCTAACTGCCAGTGTCCTTCAGGGGGAAGGCAAGTGATATATTTTCAGCGAGGTAAATAAGAAAAGTAAGATAAAAACTGTTACGCACAAGTTACACTGATTTGGATTAAAAAATAAACTTTCTAATTAGTTCACCTATTTTGCTTACAGACTCAGCTTACTACATCTTAATACCAAATCCTTGCTTCATATAAACCTTTGAGAACAAGGAGGCATTGCAAAATCTCCTGCTCTTTTATTAATACACGGTGTGAGCTTGAACTAGAAAGTACTCTTTAAATGTTTTGCTTTCTTCTTCAGTCAGGTCTGATCTATGCTGTATTGGCTTTTTGCTAGCATTTTGCATGTATCTGTTGGCAGTGGATATCTGCTTGATGTAAGATACACAAAATTAAACTTTCTGTTTGATGGAAATCATTTCCCCAGACAACACAGATATTTATTGGGTATGCATCAACTGCAGGAATGGAAGTACTTCAGTGATCTTTTACTGCTTTTCTCTTGAAGTCCTGAAATCTGCTTGTGATGTACTTACTGTCTTGTGTAATTGGAGCCTCTTGGGGATGATGGCTGGATTACACTGACCAGTTGAGTCATGGAAGTGCTTCACTGACAGAGATATCGACAGAAAATGTCTTGGCAAAATGTGATGAACATCTCTAAGGCCAGGGTCTTATAATCTACTGAGACTTGAGAAATGGGTTACCAACTTTATTTTATAGACTAAAGGAGAAAATTTTCAATGCTCTAAGTTATAATTTAGCTTTGAAATACTTACAAAGGTATATGCTTGCACAGCAATATCTCTTTTCACTGTAGTAGCCGTATGCAAGTCTGAAAAGCTATTCTTATCTGTCTTATAATTAATTTTTTACATATTCATGCATGTGAATTAATACATGTTGATGTAATCTGACCTTAATCACCTGTTTAATTGACTGCAGCATGAGATCTTTTGTGCTTTTCTTTAATAGCTGTCTGGACTGCAAGTTTTGGAGGCTGTATCCAACATAATTAGGGTAAAATGCAGATGTGTGAGACAGGGGAAAGCTTCCCAGTAAAGATAGCAGAAAACGGACAGGTTTTTGCTGTTCTTATGTTATATGTAAGGTAAAAAAAAGAAAAAAAAAAAAAAGACACCTCTGTTTTGAGGGGGAGGAAGTTTGGTTGTTTTTTGCAAGATATACTGGGTTGTTAGTTTCTTGCAAGTTTGCAACTTAAGTAATATGTTCCTGTTCTTCAGTCATAGTGTACCTGTAGGAATACCATTACTTTATTACATAAAATGTACTCAGGATTTTTTAATCTTAGCCTTCCAGTACCTGAAAGGTGCCTATAAGAAAGCTGGGGTAGAACTGTTTACAAGGGCATGTAGCAATAGGACAAGGGGTAATGGTTTTAAACTAGAAAAGGGTAGATTTAGGTTGGATATTAGGAAAAAGTTCTTCAGTATGAGGGTGGTAGATTATTGGAACAGGTTGCCCAGAGAGGTAGTGGAGGCCCCATCCCTGGAGATATTCAAGGTCAGGTTTGATGGGGCTCTGAGCAACCTGCTCTAGTAAAGATGTCCCTGCTCACTGCAGGGAAGTTGGACTAGATGATCTTCGAAGGTCCCTTCCAACCCAAACCATTCTATGATTCTATAATACATATTTATTGACATGCAACATATAGAATGAAATTTAGTGAGATTAAATTAAACAGATTCTTTTTGCTGTATTCTAGTAGATACTAGAGTGGTTACTTTCTGTTTATAGCTTATGGAAATATAATAAGTTGCGAGATTTTATTTATCTTCATTTCATGCAAAGCTGAGTGTTGGTGACAAAGATATATTTTTTTATTATTATTATTTTTTTTTTTATTGGCCAGAGCTACATTTGAGGACAGGGAGAGATTCATAACAGTACCACAATACAAGATTTTTTGGCAGCTAGGGAAAAGTCAGGTTAAAGGTAAAAGTTAGACATGCTGTGAGGAGTAAGAACATGGTGGGGGAAAAAACTTGGCAGCAGATAGTTTGTGGTAAGACTAATGTAAGAATAATTGTATAGTTTGGAAAGGTGAGCTGGGTTAATTATTCTATGAATTATATTACCCCTTTCTTTTAAGAACTCTCTTTGTACCCCTGCATATTGAATTTTGTCACCTCCTGACTTCACTGGTTATAATTCTGTAATTTACAATTATAGAGAAGAGTGATTCCTATTTGAACATTGTGTTGCACTTCTCTTCTGGATTCAGAGGAAGGTGCTGTCTTTATGACACCACAATCCTGGAAGGGTTCTGTGAATTGTATACTTAAGCCATGCATTAAGCACAAATTGGTATTTGGATAATATTTCATTTGAGGTAAGCACAAAAGGTCTGAAGATGAAGCAGTCTTATGACAGGTCATAGTATTTGCTTCCTCTGGCTATTTAATTTGGAATGAACTAACAGTAAGAAGGGGGAGTGTTGGATTTTTGGGGGGATTTTTTGTTTGCTTGCTTTTGTCCATCTATTTGCGAAGATGTAACGGGCATTGGGTAGCAATTGTGACATTTTTCAGGAAGTAAGATTTTTGTATCTTTTTTAGATATCCACCTTAGAGATGCAGTTTTTAATACTAGAGTTGTATAGATTCATGGATGGATGCTTCTGTACATACAGTTGATTTAAATGAAATACCCACATAGTGGTAACAAAATTTATAAAGCTAGCTCTTCCTAAAATCATTTTGGTATGTAGGTATTTGTCATTATCTGTTTGTTGCTGTGTTAGTAAAAGCTAAATCATATTCTTAGACAGAAATAAATTTAAAAATATTATTTATATGAGTATTTCCATCAGAAAAGGTAAATTAAAAGCCATAAAACCATGTCTGACTATTATAAGCTATCAACATTCCCCCTCCAAATAAAAAAATAATCAATTTTAATGGAAACTTTTCTGATCATTTGAAGTATGTATGAAATAATTTTTGTCCCTAATTAGCGTAGGTTTTATACCCTACACAGTATTTAATAGTTTAGTTTAAATTTTTTACAACCTTTTGTGCCTGAAAATCATATTGAATTATTAGATCACTCCACACTTGTATCTGACTTTTTAATGCCTGTTTAATCCATGTCTCTGTAAACTCAACTGGTCTCAAAGTTTTTCTGTTATCTGTGTCACATGAATTTAATAAAACTGATTCTGAAAGTATGGTGGGTTTTTTTAACATTTTACTGAACTTGATTTATCTTTTTTATCCTCCCTTTTTTTTTTTTTCCTCTGCTCTCTCCCCAGACACTTTTCTTTTTAAAGAAATCAGTCAGCAATTTAAGTAGCTTCAGGTTCCTTGTTTCCTATTTTAAAATGTTTGGGGATTTGAATAACTGTTTATTTTGGTTTTGAAGATGTTTTGCCACGTGTAAATATACCTAATGTTAACCCTTGACTATAATATTTTTGCACAGGCCTTGGATAAGAGCAACAGACTGTCGGAAAAGGAACTTGCAGAGGCTGCTAGCAAGTGGGCAGCTGAAAAGTCAGAGAAGGCCAATGAAAGCAATTTACCTGAAATAACAGAGTATGATGTAAGACAGGATTATTAATCGATTTATTTTAAAGCGTTACAACAACAGACTCTTGTTTTTCTGTACTCTCCTGAAAGGCACATTTTATAACTTACCTCTGAATTTGTCTGCCTGTGCTATTAAGTATTTGTTGAAAGGGAGCGAGAATGTGACTAAAGACTTATGATTTATTACTTTATTTATTTATTTTTGAAAATACACAAAAATAGAGTAGGTTTTGTTAGTATAATTTGAATTGATGTTGAGGTACAACTGATGAAATAATGCCCCAGCTCTACCAGGGGCTCTCTAAGGAACTCTTGCACTACTGTAAATATGTGTGCTTACTGAACTCCTTAAAATTAGCAAGGGACTTCTCAGTCAAAATATGAGTGTACATAACGTAAGACTAGAAGAGAAACTCTGCTTTATTGAGTTCAGTTCTGTGCCATGTCAGCCTGCCATGTCATGTATTCCTTTTCAGAAAGCAGTTTTCCTCTATATTAAAAATTAAGCTTTTGCCTTGGTAGTGCAGTGGGTAGATATTTATTTCCCCTAGAACTTCTGTTTCATTAACAATCAACATTAATTAATTGCCAGTTTATACCCATCTATTCTTGCCTTTCCTTGTCTTTCACCCCTTGCTATATTGAAGTGTGATTATAATCCTTTTCAGTCTTTGTTTTGTTATGCTGCTCTTGAATAGGATGTCTTTTATGGATTCTGCTACGTTAGTAGCAAATGTCATCTAATGTCTTTTTGTAAATTAGTCTGGTTTAATTCTGTGATCATTTAATCTTCAACTTTCACTTTGCTTCAACTTTAGAGGTGCTCTTACAAAAACAAAATAGTACCTACTTTACAAAGTCATGTGTCTTAAACTTTATAACTAATGGGTTTGCATTTTATATTTGTTTGTAAATAACTTGGGGCAAAATAAAAGCTTCTTGGGAAGCATCAGATTTCCTCCTTGTATTTCACGCTTGTGGAACCTAAGGGCTCGATCAAACTCACTGGATCCATATTTATCTGAACTTTTAATTCCTGTTCGTTGATGTAATGGCTGAGTGCATCAACAGCTTCTTCATGCTGTTGGATAAATAAACTGTTAATTTCCCTCCAGGAAAAAGAAATTAAAAAAAGATGAAGGGGGTGCTGGAGTGAAGAAAAAGAAGCAGCAAACTGATCCAAGCATGAATGCCATATAGAGGAGAACATATGCATGGACATTTCTGAGAGGTTCAGGAGAGTAATAGCAAAGAGAAATGTCACTCCTGTTCTTGTTGCAGGGAAGGTGATGCAAGGGAGGAAAGAACAGAGTGGCCCATATGGAGAAGAGCTGTTTAAAGCTTCCTGGGTGCCTCAGAGAAATTGCAGTGTCAAAAAGATTCAAAATAAAGAAAGATTCAAAATGAAACAATTGCAGTTGTTTGTGGCAGAGACTGAGATGATTTATTGAGTAAGAAATTGTGCTACAGGAATGCTAATGACAGAGGTGAGGCAACTCATTCCGAGTCTTAGGATACTCCTTACCTTGAGTAGTAGGCTGTCATGTATGAATTGCAACAGTTTTTAACTTTCTAGTTAATCTTACATAGTGCTTAATAGTTGAACTTTGTGTTGCTCTGAACTTTTTAGCAGCCTTTGCTCCCTCCCAGGCATTTCATGATTTACTGCAGTAACAAGATTTGGAATGCAATCTTAATTGTTTTCTAAGTTGTTGAGCAGATGATCGTAGGACCACTTAAGCTTGCTTTTTTTTTTTTTCCCCCTAATTCTCTTTCATGTTAGTTAAGTCTTAAGATCTTCCACCTCTTTATTTTTGATAGTAGAAAATATTTTTATGCATCTTTTAAAATTCTCAAATCTTATTTTTGAAAAAAAACAAAACAAAACAAAACAAAAAAAACCCAACAAAAAAACCCATTTACTACATTCTACAAATCTGTTCCATAATACTGGATTTAAATATGCTGTAGTGATTTCTTCTCTTTTTACATCTTTTATATAGACTCCATGGAGCGGGAGTCTGTTTTCTTTGGGGCAAGGATGCTGTCTTCATTTCTGTTTCAGAGGGAAGTTTATACCATTTTGGTACTTCAGTAAGATTTCTCGTATTACCAGGAATCCTCTAAGTGCGTGTTTGCTTTGGCTATGCAATAGATATCTCTGTTCCTTTAATATTAAACTTGTGGTCTTGAATGCTGCAGGAGTTCTTTCTAACATCATTTTGACTTTGTTGATGCCTATTTACCTTTGATTTTGTTACTTTTATCCTTTCCCAGAAAACTAATCCCACTTTCATTGTGGATTTTTCTTGCTAGCTGGTGTTATAAATATCACATATATAAGTTCCATCTTGATGGAAGGGCAAGTAAATGTTATCTGACATCATTGTCTTTACACAGATAAGACTGAGTCACAGGTTTTTTATGATGTCATGTTTTCTACATGTTTAAAATCCTTATTTCTGTATCTGTTTGTTTATTTGTTTGTTTGTTTTTTTAAGCCTGGATCTTCAGCTCCATTATACATTGAACAAACAGAGGAAACAGAAACAAATATAACGGATAGTACAGAATTATATGAGGATGGCCAGCTTCTTGGCCGCTCAAAAGCAATTGCAACTAAGACAAAGGAGATTGAACAGGTGAGTCTCCTGTTGGCATTTTGATTTTGTCATTAATGTGGTACCTGTATAATCACCTAGATGATGTTGATTTAGTTTTTCTTCCTTCTTGGAGCATAATACGAATGTAATCTGATTTCTTGAGATGTTGTGATGGTAACATCTCCATCTATTTAATTCTGAAGAATCATGACATTTATCTGCATGTGGGAATTAGTGGTAGTTTTCTGTAACTTACATGCAACACCTGCTATTTTGCAAGCCAAGAAAATGACTGCTTCTTTGAATAACTGATTTAAAATCAAATATAATATGGATAATGTAAAATGGAATTTAAAAGTAAGGCTTTATGTGAAAGCAAATTATAAAAATTTACTTTGATACTGTAATTTCTTTAAATATATACAGTTTGGGATTGGACACTAGAAGCTGCCTGTTGTTTTGTTGTTGTGGGGTTTTGGGTTTTTGTTTTGGTTTTTGGGGGCTTTTGTGTTTGTTGGGGTTTTTTTCCAAATCAGCTTTGAATCTCAGTGCCTTTTTCATTTTCTGAAGATTAAGAACCTTTAAGTTTTGCTTTGACTACGGTGTTTTAAATCTGGATGAGGAAGGGATATTGTGTTCAAAATTTATATTCTGTTCTTTTGTGTGTTGAGTACTTGGGGATTGATTTAATACAAAGCAAGGTTTCTATTACTCTTGTAACACTGATTTTTTGAGGAGGTTCAATGGAATTTTATTCAAGTATTAGTCTTTAATATCATGTCACCTCACAGTAAAGAAATAAATGAAATTGAAGGTTATTGTAGATAATCATAAACAATTGAAGTGTTTTGTTTCTGTATTTTTGTTAGTTTTAGTGCTGAGTTTGGAGATTTTTCTGACTTGATCTTTCTGATGTAAAAGCAGCTGTGGCCAACTCTGGAAATTGCATTTAAAGTTTATAATCCGGGTGGGAAAAAGAGATTGCTTTCTTCAAACTTGCTCTGATTTACAATGTTTTCATTGTATGCCTGGGATGGGTAGAAGGGAAATATAGATCCCTTTTCCCCCTCATGATTATTTCATTAATAATGTCTTCAAGAAAATAGGTCTCTAGGCTTGTTGGAGATAAGCTTATTCTAGGTCTTGTTTTCCATCTTAATTCTAGTGGCCTTTGTTCTGTTGCCTGTGAGCCCATTTCCTGTACTGTAATGCTGTTGTTCCTTTTTTCTTGACACTTAGAAAACAAATTTATAATCAGTTGTTTTGAGTTCTTTTTCTTCTTCCCTTTTTTTTTTAAATGTTGACTTTGCATAATCATGTTCCTAGTGAGGACAGCCTTGCATATGTGCTGGGTCTGGCTGGGATGGAGTTAACCGGAGTGTGCCATAACTATGAGGGTTGTCATGTAGTTTGTTTATCCCTATGTGTCTGATCACCAGGTTGTACATGGCCTAAACCAGCCACTACCAAATGCATAGACCTATGACTTATTTCAGAATTACTGAAACTGAAAAAAAAAATGACTAGGAGCAGATCTTTGTATGTAATTGTGGTTATTTAGCCTGATTCTGGTGAATCTGTGATTGGTTTATTTCCCTTGGTCCTAAGGATAGGCTTATAGTGAAGAAAAATGAAAATTTGGGCATAAAAGCCAAATACTGTTATTATGGTTGGTAGAGTTTGCACTTATGTCTAAGGAAATCTAGGTTATGTTCTCTAAAATGGAATGCTTTTAGGAACATAGCTCAGAAAAGCCTGAGGAATAACTTAAGAAGATTTGGATTTCATAGAACCAGTTTTTCCTGTTGTTGATTTGAATATTGAAGCCGTCAGCTTCTGCAGAATTAAAATAAGATTTTGGAATGATACTGGAAGCATCTTCAATGCATTTTATTAAACGGAACAAGATTTATCTTTTTTTATAAAATCAGGGACTGAATTTTTTGAGAGCTAAATGAGATATGTATTTAATAATTTAAATTTATGACTGTAAAATGACCTATGTGTTTTTCAGATAAATGTTTAAAAGTAACTTCTGCTTCAGCAATTTTTAAAAAATACAGAAAATTTATTGTTATGATAGTCCTGATGATTTTCATAATTGTGGAATACTGTGAATTTTCCTACTGTATATGAAAGCAGTCTCTCTGTAGAAGTTTGTACACTATTCCTTTGACTTTGAATTGTCAGCATCTAAAAGTAAATCTGGTTTAATTCTGTGTGGCTTGAGTTCTCTGCCTTTGACAAGGGATTAGAGAAGGAGCAAAGAGTGGAATGGTAATTTGTAGTCCTGTAGTGAACTGGTTACTAAAGGTTCTTTGGATGAACTTCTCGATATAACTTATACTGGTTTTATTACTGTTTAACTGAAAGTATGTATTTGGTTTTCGCACAGGTAAAATTAGTCCCTAGCATGCAAATTTAATACTATCGCTAGTCATGCTGTATTGTTTATATAGATGTAACATTTAAATCTTAAAAGTGAACTATAGGCTATAATACACTTTAAGAATAGGAAGGCTGACTTGATAATGAAATATAGAATACATTTGTAAGAAAGCTTTTATATAATGTTTCTGATAATTTATCTTGAAGACTCAAGCAGAAATTTTTTTTTTGTTCCATGGACTGTTTTCCAGTTGAGGTGTTTAAAATAGCTTCTGAATATCTACTTTTAGTGTATTATTTATGGAATGTAATTATGTGGGAGGATTACTAAAATAAAATACTTACTGTAAAGAGTAATGCTGCAAAAATGGTGCAGATGTAATCCTTCTGCAAAGCAAGATTCCTGAGAGATTGGTTTTCAGTCTTCACTGGACACCTATTAAAGTATTTAAAATAAATAATTAAATAGATAAATCACACCAGTTGAAATAACTTCTTGTGCCACTGGGTATGTGTTTATTGGTCCAGCTAGTGTTTGAGAAAGTGAGGCTTTATTAAAAGGCCTGACCCATCAGACCTCTTCTGCTTCTGTATCCCAAGTTTTTCTGCTTTCTCTTGGAGCACCGGATCTAGTGATGTTTGCTTTTCAGTTCATGTTTATTCTTGTCCTGATTCCCAGGTATTCTTGCTGTTCTGAACTTCTAGTAAAGCCCTCTTTGCTTTGTCCTCTCCATATCCATTTGTCTCCAAAGCATCAACCAGGAAAAAGAGCAAAATTTTCCAAATATGTACTTTACTTCACAGTATGGTATTATTTCAGGTAAACCCAGAGGCAAAGAACTGCTGACAGAACATGTACAGTGTGTTGCAATGAGCAAATTCATTGCTGTGCGGCAGAAAAACAGGCAGCCCGATGCCCTGGGCGGGAGAGGAGAGGCGGCAGCTTGTGATATGGTCTGTTATTTCTCTTAAGAAAAAACAATAACAAAAAAAATCCCTTAAGCAATTGAATGAAATATTCATAAAGGTGTTCTGCTTAAATAAGTCCATCTCTTTATCTTATGTATCGCTCATATCACTCTTTTGTTAAGTTTCCTCTGCCATTCCTCTAAGTTACGCAATAGCCAAATTCAGAATTTTAAATGGAGTGTGATTGTAAATGGCTGCTCTGGCTCACCAACAAAATATTTGTGTATTATTTGCTTGATGGGGGACTTACTACAAGCATTCATGTAAAATCATGTAATTTAAAAAAAAAAAAAATATATTTGTGTGCTGACTGTGGCAGGACAAAATTGTCAAACAAGTGCTAGTTGCTGTTTGCAATTTAGTGACGGTCTTTTAAGAGTCTAGAGTTGGCTTTGCAAGTATTAGCTGTAGCTGACAGAGAGAGAGGAGAATAGAAGAACAGAAGTTGTGCTCATATATAGGCTCGGAATAATCCTGATACTGAACAGAGCCAAGAATTACCTGTGTAATAGAAACATGGAAACATCCAGGTTGGATGGGACCTCACCTGATCCCATCTTCTCTTGAAACAGGGCCTTAGATCAGATCATTCAGGGCTCTGCCATGTTGAGTCATGAATATTTCCAGTGAGGAAGACTCCACTGTTTCTCTGGACAGCCTATTTCAGTGTTTCACTGCTCTCTCTCTGAGCTTAGCTGCCAGCAGTCCTGCATGCTGTTCTCCAGAATGTGTTTTCTTTCCACCAAGGACACAATTTCTGCTCCTTGCTCCTCTTGGCTGTTTCCTATCTCCATCCTTGAACTGCAGAGTCCCAGCTCCTTACTGTGGTCCCCTGCTTTTGGCTGGCCTCACCTGGGAGGCGAGAGACCTGCTACATCTGGAGTGGGCTCAGCTGTTCTCAGGGAAGGGTTGAGTTTCCAGGACCTACTGGCTCTGACACTTTGTGGTTGGTAGAACAGGATCTTCCCTGGCACTTCCGCATGACAGGTACTGGGAAGACTGATCTGTTCCATCCTGGTACATCTTATTTTCCATCTTTGCACTTAGTGAAAATTCTGCAGCATTAATGCATGTCTCATATTTTAATATGTTCCGTGTAGGTAGGTCTACATCTGTGATGTGGCTTTTAATGTTCTATTTGTAAGCAATCAGAAACTTTGGAGAGTTTTTAAAAGCAAAAATAGTGGGGTAATTAGCTTTCTCGTTTTTAGGGTTTTGTTTGTTTGTTTGGTTGGTTTTTTTGTTTATTGGTTTGGTTTTTTTGCTTTTGGAGCTGAGTGTTTCCTTATGCCTTTGAATGTGCCTTTCCCTCTTTCCTCCACAATTATAATTTTGAAATTTGGTGTTATATGTTGTCTGAGCATGATAGGCAGAAGCCCATTAAACTGATGTTTAAAAAATTGGTCTGGGTACTTGAGAATAGTGTAGCAGAAAATTTTGCATTGGCGTGTCAAGGCTGCTGTAACAATTTCATGCACTTTTATATTTTTGCATTTATTAACATGCAATATACATTAAAGTATTGGTTTTTATTTGTTTAGTTTCTGTTTTTATGTAGTTAAAAATCAGCTTATGCTTTTAGCACTTAATGTGCTGAAGTGTGGGGTTTTTCCGGGAGTGATGACAAATATGTCCCTGGTGTTAAATTCACAGTTGGAGCATTTTGGTGTTACACAAAAGGC